TATATAAAAACGCATTTCTTTAGTATTTGCATTCAAGCCTGGAAAGCATTGCAATTGTGAACACTCGAGCAGCTGCAAAGCTCAGGCTTCTGCACATTCTCTCACAGGCAGAGCTTGCACACAGGTACAAAGTTTCAGTTAGGAGAGATGGGGGGGAAGGACGGCTGGACTTCAACCTGCATTAAATTAGCTCATACAGCATAGAGCTGTTCCTGCTGTAGGTAGAGCTGCCCATATTCCCGCATCTACATAGAGCGAGGACAGCTGGAAGTGTGACGGCTTCAGTGTGAAAAAATACATACTTAATCATACGAGTACCAGTGGTGTTAAACGTAGCAGAATTAATCTAGGCAGTAAAACAAATTACTCATATGGATACTGCAAAACAAATTAACTAGTAAACAGGAGCGTCCCGAGGCCAGAAGTCACCCGGAGCAGATACCAAATGACATGCGCGGTCATCTTTTTGATACCTGATTTGATATCTTGGTGATGGACGCCTGCAGAGAGAGGAGGGAACGTTCACCCCGCGGGATAAGGTATGCCACCGGGTCCCCTCCTCTCTCTCCTGCAACTGTCAGGCTCTCGGTCCATGACCTGAATGCCTGACTTTTTAGAGGGGGTGACACCAAAATGACTGTCAGTCATTTTGGTGTCACCCCTACAATGGTGTCACCCAGGTGCAGGCCACACCCCCTGCACCCCCACTGCTAGTAAACAAAGATGTTGGAAAGGGAAAGAAAGAGGAAGAAAAGGAGTAAAAAATAAAATGAAAAGGAGAAAAAGAATAAGGATTTTCATACCTCTAAACCGTAATGGTAAAGGAGAAAAAGTTACCTAATCATGGCACAATGTATATCAGAAAGAGTAAGTAAGAGGATCCAAAGTCTGCCAGGGAGACGAGACCTTCTCAAATTTGGACATGGAATTATTTAGCTGCGCCGTGAGATATTCCAGGTTGTGAATGTCATGAATCCTCCTAAAGAGATCCAAGTAAAAAGACGAGACAGGCTGGCGCCATTTCAGTGCTACCAGACATCCGGCTGCCGTGAGGATATGATACGTGAGTTTAGAGTCTGTCTTGGTCAAACATGGAATAGGAAGGCCAAAGACTAAATGGAGCAGATCCTCCAGTACCAGTGGTAAAGAATCTTGTACTTATTCCCCTACAAAGAGTATAGATAGAGGTCTTACTAGCGTTGAACCATATCTCCTCCCAATCCTCCATGTCCAATGGCCGACCCAAGGCCGCCTCCCATTTAAGCATATATTTATGTTAAGGGAAGGGATTAAGAGCTGTTTCTTTTAACCATTGCTGGTAGACTATTTAAAAAATCACGGATTTGAGCTTTAGTGGATACCAGTCCTGAAATACTGTAGTGCTGAAGTCACTGCACGCCATACTTCTGTAATTTGTCATGAGTCTGATACTGTGCACAAAACAGGAGAAATCAGCAATCATTTAGGTAATAAAAATGATTTTATGTCCTCTTGGTGCATGGCTGCATTATTATTGATTGAGCAATGGTGGCCAGCTGGATGCCCTAGAGACCAAGCTCCAGCAATTAAGTATCAGCTCTGACATCCAGCCCATTCCTCCGCATTCTTTCATTCACTACAAGGCTAACCAGGGCAAAGAACAGACATCAGAGGAAAAAGGACCCAGTTGAAAGATCTGAATATCAAACCACTCTGCTGTGCTTGCACTCATACAGCTCTGTGCAACTGCCTGTAGGTGGGACAAACCACAGCCCCACCAAAGCCAGGGTACATCACTACTTTCCATAACAACTTTCTATAGAGGAAAAAAAAGTATCCATAGATAAACTAGTCTCACCTAGGGCATGTTGTACAATGCTGGAGGAAAGGAAACATGACCTATTTATAGCCAGCAGCCAAACTACACCCGTCTAATGTTTCAAGTGCACATACAATTTTCAAAGTGAACGTTCACTTTGCACAGAGGACAGTCTCTTCTTTGAAAAATCCTCGTCTTCTCTTAACAGTTGGTGTTTGCTAAGTAGTCTTTAAAGCAGAACTACAACTTCCTATCCTTTACAGCCAAGGAAGGTGTCATCATAAGAATCTGTTTGGATTGCTGCTGCCATGTGATCAACTATGACACCAGCCATTGGAGGGCTTGAAAGTTCGGTTGAGAACTAAAATAAGCACACTGGCAACCTTGACAGTTGGCATGCCTTAAAGCGAACCTTTAGCCATATCTTTAAAATAACAACAAACACATTGCTTAGTAATGTTTAGTAATGACAATCTACAAACAGATACTTCTAGATAATAGCAGGCTTTGTATTCTATGCATATCTTATTTCTCTATTCTTCCCCAGTCTTCCGACAGTGGCCATGTTTACTAAGGGCAGATTACTACCTCTCCTATTACTTCCTGGATTTCTGACACATGTGACTAGGACATGTGAGAAAGAACATTATCTCAGTGGAGGAAAATGCCTTTCCCTGAGATCTCATGAGATTACAAATGAGATTTCCCAGCAATGCTGGGAACAAGGCAATCCCAGTGTGCATTGCATTGGCAAACTGAAGTAATTTGCTCTTTCAAAGCAGGAAGTGAATGCTTTGCAAGTGTAAGTATTTCATATTCACAGCATGTTACAACTGACATATCTGTTATCATTAATCATCATACATAGAGGGATGCATTGGTAGAATTTGATTTTTGAGTGTAATGGTCCGCTTCAAAACTAACTGTTTTGAGGGATAATACATTGGTGGTGAACCCTTAATATGGCTGGCTGATTTTTTTTCTTTATTTTTTTTATAACAGTATTCATTTTTCTCTATCCCAATTTCCAATTTAAAATTTATGTGAATTTGTAGAACAAACAACCATCACTATTTGCCAAAACACAC